CAAAGACAAATTAGCACAACGATTTTACGTGAAAAAAATCACAATTGGAGTGCCTCCAATTGTGATTAAAAAAAAAAAAACCACAGGCAAAACCCACAAAACAATTCACTAAAAAGACATAAAGGAATTACACAGGTACACTCTCAATTACCTGGCGAATCCACACCTGAATTAAACCAACCCCTATGTGCCTCTTCCAGCCCTGTCTTCACCTTAGAATTGTCTTGCCCAATGATGAATCCACAATGCCGATGTCGAATCATAACGATGAGCCACTCCAGCCACAATTGGAGCACCTTCAATTGTGATAAAAAATCTATGGGCAAAAGCCACAAAACAATCCACTAAAAAGACATAAAGGAATTACACAGGTATACTCTCAATTACCTAACGAATCCACGCCCGAATTAAACTAACCCCCATGTGTCTCTTCCAGCTCCGTCTTCACCTCGAAATTGTCTTGCCCAACGTTGAATCCACAACGCCGATGTCGAATCACAATGATGAGCCACTCCAGAATCCACTAAAGCTTCAAGCTCGAATTCTCCAAAATCCACCGAAGAACAACTCTCTTTTGTGTAGAATAAACAAACAATCCTTTGGTGTATACTTCTTAAACCATGAGTTGAATACTCAATCAAACATCAAAGAAAACTAGCAAAATAGCTCTAGATATAAACCCTAATATCCAAGAAGAAGATCTGGAAGCGTAACCCTAAAATCTAACTGAAACACATATTTATAGCAATCTGTTCCGCGATCTACGCTCGAGTGCAGGAATTGCCGCTCGAGCGAACCGATGCTCGAGCATAGGAAATTTCACTTGAGCGGGAAAAAATATCTCCCAGTATTTTTGCAGGCAATCAAACTTCTGGAACCAAGGATTCTCCGCTTGAGCGCACAAACAGCCACTCAGGCGGACATGCAGCTCAATCCCCGTTATAGTCAGTGAAGTGGCAATCATGAAAGAATTAGCACCACAAACTTCTCTACAAGGCACAATTCGAGTTGGATTCGCATCTAAAAACTCATAGCCTCACTGAAATAAAAGTGCGAAAACAAGTATAACTGAAAGGAGTTTTGTCAAACGGGATTGCCAAGAATAAAAAGCCAACAATCTCCCCCTTTGGCAATACCATGACAAAACACACCTAACAAATAAAATCCTAATCACCCCAACCCATTACAGCCAACAAACGCAAACCTCTCTCTCAACGTCATGATCTGCAAAACAGCTATTAGTGCCACAATCTTCAAAACAACTATTAGTGCCACAAGAGTATATGAAAAAACAATAGACATATGACAAAATTATCTTAAAGCATGAGATGGAAATATGAATACATATGAATTGGAGATTTTAAGAAATATTTGTACTCACAATATTTTTTTGAAGATCAAAGAAATATTTGGAGGATTAATAAAGCCACCAAAACAAAATCCTGACCATTTTCTTCCTTTTTCTCCACCTCGCCCTTGCCTCTCTTTTCACGTCACACACAACACTATGTTTTGATTTCTCTCTCTTTCTCTCTCTTTCTCTCTCTCTCTCTCGGCTCTCTCTCCCGACTGCTACTCTCACTCTTTTCTTTTCTTTGTTTTAGTAAGCAGCTTATAACCTAATTGACCCTCATGATATAACACCCTTTTGTTTGTTTGTTTTTACTTTATATAATATTATATTTTACAAATACAATATATATATATATAAATATACTATATATGATCAATACATATATATATATATATATATATAACACCTTTTATATACATATATAAAATAAATATAAATATTCAAATTAATTATATATAATGAAAATATCACATTAAATTAATTAAACACCACATTAAATTCTCACGTATCCACACAATTAATAAAGTCAAAAATAAAATAAATTAATAATAATAATAATAATAATAAATATATAATGACTTACGAAAAATTAGGATCGCTATAGCAGGTTTAGGTTGTGACAACCGGTCCATGAGATTCCAGTACAAGAGGAAAGGTTCAGCCAAGCCTGTGTAGCCGAGCAAGCAGGCAAAGCTACTGTGGCCGAGCAAGAAGAGCAAACAGGGATTCCGGAGTAGGCGGGTCAAGCTGTAATGACGGTCCTAGCCCTAGAAATGGCAGGGGCTTTGAGGGAATCTATGAATTTGTTGAGATTTTGGCATGCTTGCGAGCTATCCATGTTAGTTTAAGTCCATCATCGCATGTTGTTGCATGCCATGTTTGCTTATATGTTTAGGTTGCGTGCCTAGTATACATTGCTCATTTGCATGTTCATGTTGCATACTTAGCCTCCATGCCTAGGTTGCATTTCATTGAGCATGCATCCCTTGCCTCTTGATCAACCATGATAGGGGTTGGGGCCCTTTGATGTGTTTTGTGCTTGCATTTCATTTGATATCGAAGTTGCACACTTGGCTTTTGGGCCATCATGCATTGAAATGCATGATTGATGGCCCGAGAGTCGAAGGCCATGCTCCCTTGAGTCCATTGCATGATAGGGGAGAGTGGCCATGCATGCATTGCTTTGAATTTCCTTGCCATGCACTGTCTGCTCTCTGCTGCTGTCAAAAATAGGTTCTGCAGGAAGCTTTGGCCGGCCGGCCACCTATACTGCCAAGCGGCCATTTATTGTTGGCCGATGGATTTACAAATGGCCGATAATCATTCGGACATGGCCGGTGGTGATCCCACTTGGTCGGTGATTCTCTCCAGTGTCCAGAGAGTGCACCTTGGGAGTTGCACAATTTTCAAAGAAGCAGAGCAGTGTAAACAGAGGCAACAGTGGCATGGCACAGGTTTCCGAGCAAGGCGAGTCAAGCATGTATCATCCACGCATTTCAAGGCGGGGGCTGTGGCCACTTTAAGTCTGCGTTTAATTTGTTAATTAATTAGAAATTTTGTATAATTAATTTAGTATTATTTATTTGGACTGTAATATTTATTTGGACCCTCCGAGCAAGGGCAATTGTGTAATAAGTGTGCGTGAGTGTGTGCATGTCTTTCAACCCACGTCTTTCTTCCTTTTTATTTACCCACTTATGATGGTAGACTAGGGCATATTGAAACTAGCATACCTTATGCTATGCATGCGTGCATTCATACATTTGTCTTGCATACACCAGGCTCGGCACATTATGCTAACTGCATTGTGTTTTAATCCCAAATCGAATACGTGTTAGTTATAGAATTTCACAAGCCATGTTTAGAACAGCCGAGCCCATTTCTAGTTGCATTTCGCATGTGTTGCATTAGCCATCTTAAACTAGGATCATGCATATGATTACTAACTAGTTTCTGTTTTGGCTTGGAGTACTCGGTAAGCATTTATGCTTTAGCATACCGTATGCGTGTGAGTGTTGCCATAATAGCATGATTACCATGAGGCTAGCTGCTTATGTGATATAACTGCTTGAATGCTTGTGAATGGAGGTTGAATCAACTAAATTGGGATAATGCATTAAAAACTGTGAGTTTTAAGTCCACTAGATAGTGGCAAAATTATCTTTTCTTAAGCCCACTTGAGGGTGGCAAAACTTGCATTTTAGCCTACTTACGAGTAGCAAACCATTTTCAAAACAAGTATGAAACGTTTTGTTCCAATTTAGGTGGTTTGGTCTATACTTGTTTGCTGTGCGCATAATATAATAATTCTAGGCTAATAACCGGAATAAGAACACATAACGTTTTCAAAAATGGATATCACGGTTAGTAGAGGCCGATCTTCGGATCGGGCGAGAGGGGGTGCTCATAGCTGACCTTCCCCAATCGTACCCAAGCTCCCGAGCCGAGGCAACTTTGGTGATGACGGACACGTGGCCTTTGGCACCGAGTCAGGGTTTTCTAAATTCCCCCATAAAAAATATTTAGGTGGCGACTCTATATCTAGCAAAGCAGTCCATGTTTGGCACTTCTTTTCTAAAAATCTGTTTTCTCAAAACGATTTGCCAGATTTGGACTCTTTGGTTCAGATTAGGAACCGTGACTATTTGAGAGTCCTGAACTATAGTGAACCCAATATGAACAGAACTGGGGGGGGGAACGGGACTCATCCTCTCGGGGCGTTCGAGGACGTCTACAGGTACAGTTCAATATCAATATCATTTAGACTCAACAGCCCCAATATCAAAAGGATACATACTAGGAAACTTTTAAAATCACCCCAAGGGTCATGTCAGAACTATTGAATTTGTAGTTAGCTTAATAAATGCAAGCTATATATAACCGAATCTTACCATAATAGCACATAGCAATACTAGAACCCCTTAGTTGCAAACCAATCTTTCCTTCCAAAGAATCCTTGATTGGTAACATCAAAATATAGGCTAATAAACCAAGTAAACTACAAACTCAGTCAATCATTTTAAAGATACACTAGCAAAAATGGTTCACTAAGTTATCTTAATCCATCTTAATATGCATTCCATTAAAAAAGCGTGATGTTTGAAAAGAATGAAACATGTAACTTTGAAAATGGTGACTAGCAAAGCTGTATCCATGTTATAGACCTAAAGTAATTTAGGTTAAATGCTTCTCAAGTTGGGTTTTCTGATTTGGACATTGCAAAAAAGAATTCAAAAGCTAGTAGAAGCCAGGCTTTATGTATATTTGAGTCATTTACTGAAACAAGACAATGGCATTGTCTTCTATTTCATGCAAAGAGCAACAAATATAGCAATGTAGGAACTACACAAGGAACAATTCCATGATCAATCTTCTTGCTAATAGAGATCAGTCTCAACCCATTTAATTTATACCAATAATTTCATCTTAGTGTAAGAGAAGAGGTATAATAAAAAATAACCAATGTCGTTAATATCGTACCAGTCAATGTACTACATTTGTCATTAGTGCAGTACATATCGGTACAGGCAAGATGCAACATCTATACATGCATTCAAAAGAGTTTCACTAAATAACAGACATTTTATGAGCATAAAAGGCTATAGGTTTTAGTATAATGTAGCTTTACCTTCATAGCTTGAGAAATTTACTCATTCTCTTGCATTCCACGACTATCTTTGGGCATGAACTTCTTTATCACTTCTTGGAGAGCAGGATCTTGTCCTTTAGTTGAGAGTATATCGATGATCAAGGGAAAAATGGATGCATCTGTTGAAAAATCCCTTTGAACCATATCCTCAACGAGTATTAATGCCTCATAGCACTTGTGTCGTCTAACAAATCCTTGGATAATAGTGTTGTAAGCGACATCATCTGCCAAGCAACCATTTTGTTCCATTTTAAGAAACAACTCTTTAGCTTCATGTAGTAGGCCTTTTTCACAAAGACCTTTTATCATCATAGTGTATGACTTAACATTAGGTTGTAATCCCTTGGAAGAAAGGTTATGGAAAAAGGCCCTTGTAGTATCAAGCTTTTTATCCTTGCAGAATACATCAATAAGAATATTGTGCATAACAACTGTAACAATAGTTTGATAAAGAGAGGGAGAGAGAGCAAATGAATAACTCTGTATTTCTGTGTATATTTACAAAGAGATGTACACTCTCTTTATAGAGAGGAGAAAACAACATAGGATGCCAATTGAGGCACCGAAAGCATAAAGCAAGGGGACACTAATTATTAAAGCTAAACACTAACATATAATAATATACTAACAACCCCCCTCAAACTCAAGGAGGATAGGTACTAACCAACTTGAGTTTGGAGAGAGTAACAAAACAGGAAAGTAAACTGATAAATAAAATAAAATAGGATAGGAGACACTGTATGGTTGTGTCAAATCGTTGTTGAAGACACGGTATGGTCGTGTCACACCGTTGGAGAAGACACTGTATGGTCGTGTCGGACCGTTGTAGCAGATAATGGCTGGACAGTTTACGAGGTCATGCCGGACCGATGTAGAAGCTAACCTGTATGATTGTGTATATAGGCTGCCCAAAAGATATACATGGATATAGATATCGAGCCCTCAAAAGTCGTGCCCAAGTTTTTATGTGTTTTTGGGGGTGCAAAAAATGAATAACAGGAAATTGAAAGGCAGCAATCAAACCGGGCTTTAAATCTCTTTTTCCATGTATTCTGAGTTTACCAACTTGTTGATATGTTTCAGTAAATAGTTTACATACTGTTGGCTTTCACAAAGTTATTACTCTTGGAAAACAATTTGTAAGTAAATTATGTATATTGATTTATTGATCTACAAAGATTGATTGTTTTGATGTATTGTAGTTACAAATCAGAAGTGGCATTATATACGGAGAGGGTTTGGTTAGTGAGTGGCTGGTAGTGGAATGGTAGTGCGGTGGTGGGTGTAGTGGAAGATGTAAGTGTATTAGGTTAGTGGGGTGGATGAGTGGGTTAGGTTAGTGGGTTAGGTTTAGTGTTACATTAACAGCCCCCCTCAAACTCAAGGAGATAGGACTATACGCAACTTGAGTATTGACGAGGTAACTAAAACAGAAAAGTAACTGATTAAAATAAAATAAAAATAGGATAGGAGACACGTATGGTTCGTGTCAGACCGGTGTTAGGCAGACAGTTTAACGGGTCATGTCGGACGCGTTTAGCGACACTGTGTGTCGTGTCAGACCGTGTAGAAGACAGTTTTATGGGTCATGTCGGACCGTGTAAGCAGACAGTTTAACGGGTCATGTCGTGACCGATGTAGGCAGTGACGTTTATGGGTCATGTCGGACGCGTATGTAGAAGACAGTTTACGGGTCATGTCGGACGCGATGTAGGCAGGACAGTTTACGGGGTATGTCGGACTCGGGTTGTAGCAGACGTTTACGAGGTGCTATGTGGATCGTTGTAGAAGACAGTTTAGCGGGGTCATGTCGGACGCGTTGTTGAAGACAAGTTTAGCTGGGGTCATGTGGACGCGTTGAAAGACAGTTTCATGGGGTCTATGTCGACGGCGTTGTAGCAGCTGTGGTGGTGGCACGAGGTAGGCGACTTAGAGAGTGCCCATGGGGCTTGTTATCCAGATGTATCCACTCGATGTATATTAATCCCCCCCTCAAACTCAAATAGGTGTTGAAGATAGAAACCTATTGAGGTTGAAAAAAGGGATTGATAGAAGCTGACACGGATGTAAGAAGACCTGTATGAGTGTGTATATAGGCTGTGCCATAAAAATATACGTGGATGTAGATATCGAGGCCCTTAAAAGTTTGTGCCGTCAAAGGTGTGGCCAGATCTGTCAAAAGGCGTGGCCATCAGAAAGGCGTGCCGATGCAATCAAAAGGGCGTGCGCATAAATGATGGCGAGGCAGCGTGAGTGCCTTGCTGGCGTGCCCGTTTTGTCTGGCGTGCAAAGAGGCGGCTGCGTGATGCGGCGTGGCTGCTTCGGCTATTATAATACGCAACGAGCAGAGGCCTGAGGCCGAGGCAGAAGCAAGGAAACCTTCAAATCCTCATGTATTACAACGACGTCGTTGGTGCTGAGAGAGATAGGCTGTATCAACTGCTGTGTGCTGAGCAGAGAAAGTGCTGTAACACTTGTTGGCGAGAACAAATGGCTTCTTTGTCCGCGTGGGTCTGGCTTTACTCGTCTTCCCCGATCTCGAACGGAGTCAACAAGAGAGATACGGTTGCGGTTGGCCCGTGAACAACAACCAATACACCAGCTTGGGTTGCTCCTAATTGATCTTTCGCGATGCACGTCGGTGGATGATATAGATAGGTATACAGTTTAATGAGTGCGCGAGTCAGGGCGCACAGGAGAGCGAATGAGATACGCTAAAATGGATAAGATTCAATGTAGGGAGCGCGCGTCTCACACATAGTATACTTGTCGCAGGCCGCTGGCAGAGTAGGACAAAATGAAGGTGCAACAATTAACTCGCCAGCTGGCTCTGCTCCAACGCATGTATAGGTCGCCGATAAGTCCGCAGGATGAGATTTGATACTAGCTTTAGTGACGCTCGGAGGCACAAACAATATGAGCTGAAGCGGAAGGGCCACCGTGATTTTCGATTTGGAGGGCCGCCATTGCATGTCGGCATGTGGAGGAGCAGGAGTGACTGATCATGCTGCCAGTGGTAGTGGAAACACGGAGGAAACACCGGAAGGCGACAACATCTAGCACGATTACGCAGAGAGAGAGAGACCAAGCGATTGGCAAGAAGAAGAGATCCCTATGGTTCAGAGGAGTGAGCACCAGTCGACTTGTTGTAATGTGCATACGAGAATCGGCGACGCGTGTTTTCTTCGGCAGGACTGTGCTGTATGACTATGTCGAATTGCTGTGAGTGTCGTGGTTTTGTGTTAGTAGTTATTGGTCTCTCTGTGTTCTTCTTGTGTGAAGTGTTAAATGTGTGTGTGTGTGTGAGTCGCGCTTTGTGTTAGTACGTGTGTTGGTTTGTATTTTTTTTT